GCTTTTCCGGGCTCAAGAGGATATCATTGTTGTGAGTCAGAGTTTCAACAAATTTAGCAATGACTTGGTTGCGTTTGCTCAGCCATTATATGCCATGATATTGTCTATCGAGAACCTATTGTTATATCGGATTAATGATTATACATCATCGTATATTGATATACGTTCTTCCTTAGCTATTTCAACGATCGCGTTAACACGTTTGCAATGATCAGAAAATCGTGAATTCCACCGTTCAGTAAGAAGTTCATTCTTCTTCATACAAATTCCGAATCTCATTGGTATCTTCAAAAGCTTTCTGTAGATGTTTCTTTAGTTTTTCGACTTCAGTGCTCTGATCCTCAAGGTGCTGCTGCATTCGTACAATCCGATTGTTCAGTTCTGTTATAGACTGAGATTTTCTAACTGAGCAAGCTCAAAGAGTTTGGCTTGAGCGATTTCATCTTCACCATAATCGAGCCGGATCCTTTTACTTTCTTGACTGTGACTTATTAAATGCTGATAAAAATGATTAGTAGCAATAATTCGATTGTAGTGTCTTTCACAAATCGCATATGACTTTAATGAAAAATGTAGATTAGCAAGTTCAGGAATATAACTATGGGTAGAGTGCAAGCCGCTTAGCTGTTTCCTGAGTGCTCGCATGCCGCCACATTTGTGGTTATTTCACTTCACATGATTTCAGTCCAACTTCACTTATGCTTCAACTAAAGTCGCAAAAACGCACGGAAGGTCTCTTGCTATTGGTTTTTTATAAACAGACACTGTTCAAAAGATTGTTTGAATACAGCTTAGTTAGCGAAATTACGTTCGTCATTTCGTCTTAAGACGTTAGCGCATGCAAAAACTGTAATTTTCACGTCTCGTTTACTTTTTCGAAACGGGTTGATTATTTTTGATTATTGAAAGTAGAGGTATGTTTTTCAATCGAATAGGGGCGAAAATTCACAAAGAATGCAGGCGTAAAGAATGCGTAAGCCAATCAAATTTCAAGAATTGGCCTGCAGATCATAGAACACGTTTCCTTTTGAGGTATATTCCCCGACTGTATTACAGTATTCCCTGACTGTATTACATTTGTATTACAGATTCCCTAAAGGTGTGTATAGTGTTGAGAACTTAAGCTCTGCGCACTTGAAAAAATTTTTTAATTCAAACTATGTCGTTAGCATCAGGTGTTGTTAATAATCCAGCAATTGACAACTTGGTCCAATCCTCCTTGGAAAGTAGACATGACTTAAGACTTGAATGGATTCCTTGCTCGCAAATTACTGACATAGAGCCAACTCAAATTAACAACGTCTACTGCGCTAATCGCACGCAATCACATACGTATCCGATAATGCTGTTATGCCTTGGAAACAGCGGAGAATGTACACCAACACTTGTGAGTGAGTTTGCTAGAATATACTCACTTCCAACACACAAGTACAATAATAATGTCAGTCAATATAGACGATATTCCAAATGGCTTACATATCGCAACAGACTAATAAAGGGGTTTACCAAGTCTAATGACAAGTATTTCATGGTTGCTGATAAACACTTTTATTATTGTTATTCTCGATATGGATTTTGCATTGCATGTGGAATACTCCGATGTAGTCCTGTATGGTGCATTTGCAGTCATAAAGAAGTATCTGATGGATGGACTAGCAACAACAAGCAACTCGATGAGTTTATTAAGAAGTCTCAATTACAAACAAGCTCGGCAAATCATGCCTATTTGGAATGGATTCCATATGATTGTATTCATGATATGGGATATTGTGTATGGTTGTTTGGTCTACCTATTACTGATTATTATAGTGTAGGTGATAAATTGACTCGACATCCACTTGAGATAACTGATGAGATAGATAATTTATATTATGAGAAGGTAAACTATTTGTTTATGCATCATGTTTATTGAATTGCTTAAATAATTGCTGACTATTATGTATCATGTCCACTAGTTATGTGATGAGCATCCAGCTAATAATGTATGGATAACCATTGGATTTACATATGATACAAACAAACAAAAGTATTGTCTACTAAAAGTTGTCCATACAGATGGATTATGTCTGGCATGTACAGAGCCATTAAACCTTAGTACTAGGATAAATGCATTCTGTCTCAACTGTAAAGCACCACAGCCTCTTGATTGGACGACTGGCAACAAGTCATTGGATTCACTTCTAATAGAGTCATGGAATGTTAATGTGAAGAATAAAGATGAAGAAAATGCCTGCATACAATGGATTGAATACTCTCAATTATCATATATACAAGAGATGACATCATTACCCCGTAGATGCACACATGTAGCAGATTGGTTAGGATCAACAAACGAATTGACATGTGTGACACTCAAAAAGATAGTTGATGAACAAAACAATCCATTATTCGATTTTTATCAGGTAAATTATTTTGTGCAATTGATAAGTGTATATTGTGCATTTAACATTGATTATTGTTGTAGTGACTGTATTTACTTACTCAAACAGCTAACCAAGGAATACCCTGAAATATTGGCTCCAGATAATATCTGGATAGCTGGGATCACTCGAGAACCATCTTCTCATGAATACTATTTAGTGTTTTACCACATCAATGTAGTATTGGACAAAATTATACAAATTAATTCACGTGAAATGTATATGTCATATACTGACTTTAATGAAATTAAGGAGATTGGATCTGGGTGTTATGCAACAGTCTATACTGCCAAATATTCAGAAGAGGATGTCACAAACTGTTGTACTCAAATGGTTTAAGAGTTTTGATGGAATGATAGAATTATTTATTTCTGAGGTAAGCAACTTTTAATCTTAATAATTAATTAAAGTGATATTTAATTTGACACTGTATTTGTTTTATTTAATAGTTCAGAAATCATGCCAAGTGTGCAGAGGATGATGATTTCCTTCAAATTTATGGATTCACACAAGACCCAGAAACAAGCGAGTTCATAATTGTTATGCAATATGCTAACAATGGTAATCTTTTGTCTTATTTGGATCAAAATATTAACGAATTGACATGGGTGATGAAGTTACGGTGTTTATGTTTTATTGCGCATGATCTGCATACTATCCATGATGCAGGAATTGTACATTGTGATCTTCATGGCGGAAACATTGTTCTGAATAGGGATGACCCATACATATGCGATCTTGGTCTCTCGCGATCGGTGAATTCGCGCGAGTCAAATTCAACCATTCAAGGCGTTTTATCCTTTACTGCTCCGGAAGTCTTCCATACCCGCAAATTTACTCAGAAATCAGACATATATGCATTTGGTATTATTATGTATTTGATTGCCTCTGGTAAACCACCGTTTAGAGATAGGCAGTTCGATGGAGATTTAATATGCGACATTATGGGCGGACTACGACCATCGATGCCTGATTCCGCTCCAGAGGAATACAAGAAACTTGCCGAGCGGTGTTGTGATGCTGATCCTGATAAGCGTCCAGATGCAAAGACACTTTATGATGACATCCACGAGCTCTTTTATGGAGATAAAACTGTTATCACATCTCAAGAAGCAGAGTAAATATTCTAGCAAGCTCTTACCTACTACTACTGGAGAATTGCTTAAACCAAGAAAATAGCTATGATTTTGGATTCAGCTGCAAGTGTAGTTATATGTTGATACAAATAAAGTCAATATACAACGTTAACAATGTCCAATTCTTATAATTTAGAGACTCAAACTCTTTCTGAATAAACTTGTAATTCACGGTTTATTTACAGTATATATACGAGCTTTGTCCAAAGGTTTGCTTTTCTGCCAATTATACGATGTGCTTCCACGTATGTCAATATGGTTGAGCAGCAGGATTCCGAAATAAAATCGTACGCGTTTACTGTTAGCTGCCTTTGCCGGGGTAGATCATTTGAAAATATAGAGTATACTATTTATTATTATTACTATCATTGGCTCAATTAAGTACTTTCATCGTGTCTCAACGTTCAACCAAAAAACGAGTTTTTTAATGTCACATGTTTTGTTTTATTACTGTAATACATATTAATTATTATTATTTATTTATATTATACAGTAGTCGTAATTAGTCTGAATTAATTACACGTGATAAACCAAACCATAAATATTGCTGGGTAGGTAGTAGTAGCATTAGATTTCTCCACAAAACTTTCCAATTTCGATCGTACCCAATAATAAAAAAGGTATCTCCATTTGTTAGTCAACAAGAACTAATCATGTATATCTTATTATGGCATATCACGGGGCATTTAATTACACAATAGTCGAAGATTTCCAACACCAAAAAGTACTTGGCATAATAATAATAATAACAACCCCATGCCGGAACACATCGGCGACGAATGCGGATCTGAACCGCGATCCACACTATACAACTCTGAATGATAATAGGCTTGGTTCAAAATTTCGGTAGGCGATCGACAAATCCCAGAGACTGTCGTCCGGTGAGCTATTATCTTGCATGGACCGCTGCACTGGTTGAGCAATCTTGGCAAGTAGTACATAACCCGTTAAAAACGACAAGATATTATTATTGCAAAACGTACGGTAAAAAACCAGAAATCTAACAATAATATTGCCTAACAAAATAAAATCAGCAGACAAAAGCTTGTGTCATTGGTAATGAAGCAAGATACTCACGCTCTCATGGTTGATGTTATGATTCAATATAAAGATGATGACATCGATAGAGAGTGATAATAAAGTCACTGGCGAGAGTTTTCAAAGATTCCTATTCATCTTAACTTTGTAAAGAGGATATCTTATTATGGCTGCAATAAGCTTTAGAAGAGAAGATAATTGTTTCGATAAATAAGATTTTTTTTTAGATTGGGAGAAGGAGGAGGTTAATGGCTAATTGAATATTGCAGCAAAACTATTCTATCTAACACAGACGGTACATATGTATATTTTTGTGTGTATAATATGTATATACACATATATGTATATGAAAAAGTCCTTGCTGACTTGCGCTTGTCAAGAAAGAAAAAATAACAGTCCATTCAAACTACTTGTAATGCACAACCCATGGCTTCGAAGCTTGTTCGTTAGCCCGCAGTCTTTCTAATTCCTCGATATCATTCTCCATCTCAATGACGCGGCTTGTAACTCCCTTCACTGCCTCCAACCACAAGTAATTTCCATATTCCAACTGAGTTCTAACTCTTTTCGCAAATTGTTCGATCTTATTTACGTATTCGGCAAAATCATCGCGATTATATTTTACAGCTCTTTCTTCTTCGCTTATTGGGTTGGATACCATATGGGGTACAGTAGCCATAGGTACGGGTACGGGACCTATGTACGGCATGACTGGTTGCGGTGGTATCATTGTATACTCGTTGTTTGTTGCTGCGGCAAGTATACTGGTGCTGATGCGAGCCAACGAGGCTGGATTCTTTGTGCTCGCCACCTTTTCCCAATACAAATGGATTTGTTTTGGTGTGTAGTTCTTCATGACGCCTTTTGCTCTGAGATGAGCTCGTAGTGATATAGGGTTGAGACCGAGATTCTGTTCGATCTCTTTCTTACACTCGTCACTGATATCGGATGCGATCACGGGTCTAGAGTGCAAAATTCCATGATGAATTTCAAGCATTGCTTCGGCCGCAGGTAAGTCTATCTTCATCTGCATTTTTCCTTGACAGGGGAAGCGTTCCATGCGCTTTCTGTTTGAGCCCTGTTTATATTCCTTCATAGCGACCATAGATTGACTACATACATAGTAGAACTTTGCCACGTCCTTATGACGCATAGATGTATTCATGCAGTTGTACCTATATAATTCGGATTTGGACATAACATCGATAGAGTTGAATACAGATTCCGGCTTATATTAGTAGGGGAGGGGGGGAGTCGGCATGATGAAAGAGTTTGATTGATGTAATACTCACGTCCAATTATATTCATCAGCTCTCTCAATTTCTTCAACGATCCATCGCGCGACTTCTTTTGGATTTTCATTACCGGTAATAGAACCAGTCAAATTAAGTGCAACCCTCAAGTTTAGTCCTTGCTTGATGCCGTCTGGATTTGTTGGTTGTGGGTTAGCTGCCACTGCTCGCACTTCGTTGGCCACAAATTCAGCCAGCTCCATTAGTGTCACACTCTTCAAAGAGACTCTGAGGGGTTCCTCGTCGTTAGCGCCGCTATTCGCTATGGTAACGGCTTCCTCTTCTCTCTTCCTCTTTGTTCGTGCCTTTTTTGCGGCTCTCTGTTCGATACAGGACTGACAAGTCTTCCATTTTTTGTTCTTGTGGAAAAATGCTTCGTCTTGCTTGGTCTGATGACAAGAGGTACAAACTGGCATCGTAATGGTGGGTATGTTACGTAGTAATACGACTAGGTCGTAGAAATATTTTATATTATTTCACTGCTGATATGGTTTTTTTCGCAAAAACAGGGGAGTAAAAGTATCCGCTGGGTAGTAAAGTTTATTTATTTTCGATGTTGCCGGCCATACTACATACGTATGAGAGTAGTAGCAAGTTACACAGAAACTGGATGTTCATTTGCTGTCGATCCGGCATGAAGATTGCTATTGGACGATGGAGAGATCACGAATACAATCAAGGGAACACCTGACAATGTCGGAAAATGGCCTTTCCCGAAGATTGATGACCGGTAATGAAATTGGGATGGGATGCATGGATGGAATCGAGAAATATAATGTAAATTGAGATAGGGACCAGCGTCCAAGTATAGCCAATATTATCGAGGCCCCGACGTCTCTTTAATCTCCAACAAAAAAAGTCGGGTGATCCACATTCTTGCA